GCTACATCTCTCAAGTCGATGATGATGTTATGAGGCAAGGGTGATTCATTTCTGTAGTACTCAGTATGCCAATACGTATTTGGATCATCGTCGAACGCGTTCTTTGCATGTCCTTCCTCGCCGATTTTTTCCACACTGTCGGCTTTAACAACCCACATTTTGCGTGAAACGCAACCATTCGAATCTGGATTGCTGAGCACTTCGATTTCTGCAGCGCTAGCCCATGAACCACGGCCACCGGCCTCGGACTGTATTATGAGTCGCACGTAGCGGATGCTATTGCCGGAGAAGTAAGCGTACTTCAGGTTCTCATCGTCTTCCCAAGTTCCTGTCGCAGCCGGCGATCCCCAAGTTGTACCATCAGCACTCAAATAAATGGAATACTCTCCAATATTCCCGTTGTCTTGATCATCCTGACGAGGAAGATAGGATAGACCGTGAACATTGTAGTTGTCCTTCATATCAATTGTTATGCTGTGAGGCATGGGATCGTCGGTTGGATCCCAACTCGTATGCCAAAAGGTGTCATGATGGCCATCAAGAATACATTCTGCTTCGTTACCAGGCTGGGCGCTATCGGCGACAACCGTCCACCCATGGCGATTAAGCGAAATCGTGTTGGAAGTGTCGGGAGGATCAGCAGTTGTTCTGATATTTGCATGGAATTCAATGAAAATGAAAAATGAGAGCGCAAGAGCTCTGCGAAGTCGAAACATCTTGTTATTGCAGAAGCAAGACTAGGAATAATGTGCAGTTTTTAGACGTTAAAATAGAATGATTATTGTATTGATTTATAAAAAAAAAAGATTGCTCTTCCAAATATATCAAAAATAAAATCATAAAATGCCTTTTATCAGATGTTAATAAAATAAAATAGAAATGTTTATGACTCCCAACAAATAAAATAAAAATACAAGTTTTACTGCTTTCGAATTTATATCTAAAGTGCATAGATAACGAACAAGTGTTTGATGACTATAAACATTTCCAAAGTGAAATTATGAGAGATATTGGATAGAATTTATTGCCTATTATATTGTATTTCTGTCATATGTAGAGTTTCTATATTCTATAGTTCTTTTAAAATGTTTGTCGTTTGAGCTTTTCAAGTCGAAGGATGTGGATGTGAGTGCAAAGATTGAAGAATAATCACACTCACACACACTCTCACGATGATCTATCAAGATTTAAGAGGGATCTCAAGGCCTGTTCGGGTTTGCAAGGTTCCTACTGAGATTAACGAGGGTCTTGACGTGGTGTCTGTCTTTCCGTCCTCACCCTTGTTCAGAGCTATACCTTGTGTATATCTGTTGGTGTATGATTTTCTCTCGGCCTCGATCACACTGATGCCTGAAGCAAACTCATTAACCTCGAGTAGATCCCGATAGACTATTGATATATATATATATATATTCTATATCTCCAAATATCAACAGATCTTGAATTAATCTATAATTGTTTTTTCTTAATTAGTCTATAATTTACTTACGGCACCTAGTGCAATTTACTAGCGAATCATAATAAATACACCATTTTGTAACTAAAAACTTTGAAGTAGAAATCATCTAGACATTTTAAATAGTCATTTAGTTTCAATGTAACTTAGATGGCTTTTAGGTAGCGTCCATCTGATACATTTTTTTCTTGCATCATGTGCATGAAATATCGTGCCTGATCACTGTAATTAATGAAGTATAGACCTAGTGTTCTAAAGAAATGGAGAAAAAAAGAAGGAATCCTATTTTGCTTTATAAATGGAGTTCTATGCAATTTTAAACATATTTATACTCCGACGGTGTACGGATATCGGCGTTAACTTCAACCTCACATACTCAGTTTCACTCGTACCTATCCACATCCTCAGAAAATCAAACAAGAAAATCTTTATAGAATAAATATTATGAATGTCAAATACTTACAAAAACTTTGCATACATTTCTATTTTTGAAGAACTCAAAGAATTAATTTACATTTTATGTGTATATTTATTGACTAAACAGGTATTATTTGAATCTCTAAAAAATAGGGATTTATCTTTCAGGAGTATATATAAAGAGATGAAATCAGATGGTTGAGTAGTTGAATTCAAGTTTCAAGGTAGATACTACTGGTTTATTTAGATATAATGGTGAAAATCGAATCTCAATAACTGTTTGCGTTCTTGAGTTAAGCTTGTGATCACCTGCCTTCTATTTTGAAATTGATAGCAGATGCTGTTACATTCGAGAATGAAGTAAACAAATAATTATACTGAAAACAGCTATATTAGTATTTGCAAACTGCATTTTCTAGGCTGTGAAAAAATCTATATTTTTTTTTTCAAAACAATAAGAAATAACTTTTATACTGTGTTTTTTTCTTGAGAAAGTAATTAATTAATGAATACAATCTTTCTGTTATTTAATTATACATCCAAAAAGTGCAAAATATTCCTAATAAAAGTCTTCGGACCTGAGAATAATCGATATGTATAGTCCAAAAATCCTTGACCTACAGCTCTATCATGAGATCTTTTGATCAAAAATATTCCTAAATTTGAGTAGGAATTAGAAAATAGCATTACAACAGTTCTTTAGCGACAAAAAATATATCGTAGAAATATCTGATATTAACATATGTGAACTATACTCTTTTATTTCCGTTATTCTTAATAGAATAGCGTCATCTATATTTGGCAAATTTTTATTAGAGACGTCAGAAATGTACGCAAAATACTTGCAATTGGATATTGTGAAAGCGAAATACTTTTCTCTCTATATAATTTCTATTTTTTACAGTACCCCAGTGCCATATATTTAATTTTATGAATAAATCATCTGAAGAATCAACTAAAAAAGTCGCTTCTTTTGAACCACGCGAACAAACAATGGATACGCAAATGAAAGTATGTGTAATGATAATATCTTTCATTAAATGATAATAAATTTAATCATGTATATACCTATATATAGACTAGTTCAAGTTATATCGATAAAATGGCACCAGAAGATATGACATCAAAAGAATATTATCTTGATTCAACAGCTCATTTTGCTGTTCATGAGGTTAATATAAATAATTCTTTGAATATTCTTTTTATTAATCTTTAAATTTATTTAGGAATTATTAAAAGATGAAATTCGTACAAAAACATTTCGTAATGCAATTATTAATAATCGACATTTATTTAAAGATAAAGTAGTATTGAATATTGGTTGTGGTATTGGAATTTTCAGTTTATTTGCTGCTAAAGCCGGTGCAAAAATGGTCATTGCTGTAAGAAATTTTTATTTTCAATTGAAATTTATATTTATACATATCATATATTCAGGTAGAAAAATCGAATGTCATCGAATATACAAAAAAGATTGTCCGTGCAAATCGATATGATAAAGGTAAATCAACTTGTTATATATGAAAAATCTATTCACATTCTTTTTATTAGTTATCAAACTTATCAAAGGTAAAATTGAAGAAATTGAATTACCTGAAGGTATACAACAAGTTGATATTATTATTGCTGAATGGCTGGGTTATTCATTATTTTATGATTCAATTATTCAAAGTGTGATCTATGCAAGAGATAAATATCTTGTATGTTAATTTTTAAATAGATAGGGTGTGAGTGTTTGAGATATCAAATCTACTCTATTGTTTCACTCAAAATCTAAATGCATAATCAATTCCACTAAATAATTTATTTAGAAACCCGATGGTATCATTTTTCCTGATCGCGCAACAATGTATATGGTTGGTATTGAAGATCGAGAATATAAAGAAGATAAAGTCGAATGTAAGTTTATTTGTTGTACAATCTTAATCTACGTATAATCCTATTTAAGGGTGGTCAAGTGTTTATGGTTATAATATGGGTTGTTTAAAAAATTATGTTATGCGTGAACCATTAGTTGATACAGTTGATAAACGTCAAATTTGTACAGATCATTTTCCAATTAAAGTAAAAGAATTGATTTAGTTTTTTCTTAATAATTTTATTTATTTTTTCTTCTATTAGACATTCGATCTGAAAACAATGACTATTAATGATATTGGTATTGATGCTAAATTTCGATTACGTGCTTCACGTGATGATTATTTACATGCATTTGTTACTTATTTTGTTGCAGAATTTACTGCATGCACACAAAGAACAGTCATTAATACCGGTAAGTTAATTATAAGAAAAGTATTTGATTGATAAATATTTTTATTTAGCACCTGGTGCTGGTTATACACATTGGAAACAAACAGTTTTCTATTTTCCTGATTATGCAACACTAAAACAAGATGAAATAGTTGAAGGAACATTTTCTTGCAAAGTTAATTTGGAAAATACAGTATGTTAACATCTATATGTATAGATTATTTTTTATTTTTATTTTCTTTTTATAGAAAAAACTCAATTTTGATATTGATTTTCAATTCAATGGTCAAATAGCATCTTTACACAGTAAAAATCAATATTTTATGAAAGGTTAAAATCATTTATTATATCGTTAGAAAAATCGAAGAATCTGTTTTTTTTTGCCGTTTGTTTTTGTTTTTTGTTATTTTGTTTTTTTTACTTTGAAATAAGTAAAAAAGATAATACAAAGTTTATTGTTCTTCGTTCGTAACATTACATTATTAAAATCTATTAAAAAAAAATTCATAATAATACATTAAAATCAGTCATTTTTAGTTATACTTATTTTATCTATGAATAGTATAGAGTAATTACTTTTCTGAAGGATACTAAAAATAGTATCATGATTTTATGAATTTGGTTTAACAAGCTTTGTTTTATAGGAAATATATATTGGGCAGTTAAATTATTGAATCAGCAGTAATTTATTTAAACTGTCAGTTATTAATTATCTAATGCTGCAGATTAAATAAAAGATCAGTAAATCCAATTTTTCAACAGTCGAATATATGAAAGCGTTAGTATAAAAATTGAAATAGTATAGAATGAATTATTCCTGTTCTAATTTTTCTCTTCCTTCCATAAGTACATATAGGTACTTGTACTTGTGACCTATTACTTTTAACATACAGAATATACATGAATAACAAAGATATTGTTCATTGTTGACTATAGAAGATGGAGGGAAAAAACCGTCTTCATTTTACCATTCGATATGTCTTTTATGCGCTATTATATATAACGGCTTAAACGCGTAACACGTCACCTCACGTGACCATTGTTTAAAAATTTCGATCTAAATATCATGACTATAGTCTTCTATAGTATAGCATCAAATGGTTGGATGTTGTTCTAGACTACAATACTGGGAGGCCAGGCTCAATCTGTCAAGTTTAAAAAAGACCCTCATAGAGAAAAACAGTACTTAATTGTCCGGCTTTCATCATCGCATTACGTTAATGTGATAAAAATATCACCCTCCATAAAAAGATCTTCAGAGATTTTTTTCCTTTCGTTGAACAGACCAAAGTGTTTTCTATTACCCGCCGATAAAAAAGTTTTGCAACAGTAGTATATATTCAGAGAAAAACAAGCAAAAAGTGGAGCACCCTCAAATTTTTGTCCATAATTCATCATCGCGTTTCGTCGTATATTTTTACTGTAATTTTCACACGACTCGTTCAAATGAAGTAATATTTTCACAGATTGTGGGGATAACACAGGCACATCTTTCACCGAAACGATGAGTCTTCTACACTACCTAGTTGTTGACAAAAGCTAATGCTACTGTAGCCAAAATGTCAACGCGTTACGCGCGTTTAAGCCGATAAATACCTCATGATTTTTTACATGAAAATATAATATTTATTGTAAATAAAACTGACGCATTTTCAAATGAAATTCTTGAGGGTGGGGTGTAGATAAAGAAATAACATTTACACCCACACCCTTCTTTGTCAATAGACTCATGAAGTCATCTACAATATTTTTTACTTATATAAATTTATTATTTCTACCGCTTAAATCTAATTAAATAATTGTCATATTATCTACCAAAGAATTATGCAATAGAAAAAATTCAGATATTTTTTTTGTCATCACGTATATTATTACTATTCATGATTTGTAAAAATTTGTTCACACTTCTTTCGTTTCAGTTATTCAATATTAAACTAACAGAGAAAAAGGAAGAACAAGAAATCATTTGTATAGGTTATATGAATATTTTGTTTATTCATTACTTAATTGTTTGTAAAAGTCGGAGAAATATGCAGTCTTAATCTTGTGAACTACAACAAGAACAAGAACAAGAGAGAGAGTCAAAAATGAATATAGTATAAAGAATAAGAGAACGAGTCAATCAATTACTAAATAAATATAATCATATAAAGCCAAAAGAAAATAAAACGACCCGATCGATGACCACACTTGATCGAGAAAAAAAA